GACGGGAACCTCGCTACAAATTTTAATGCGAAAGAGATGGAGTGTTTGTTGGTTGTTGGTTTATGGTGCGCATATCCTTCCCCCATTATGAGACCATCAATGAGGCAAGCAATCCAGGTGCTTAATTTTGAGGCAGACCTCCCAAATCTACCAAGTAATAGACCTATTCCTAATTATGACATCCCTGGTACTTCAGTCATTGGAACAAGTGAACCTGGTACTTCAGTCACCGGAACAAGTGAATCTGGTTCAATTAGCATTACTATGCCACGCTAATTCTCATGTCATACCTCATACAAATTCTTCTTCTTCTTCTTCTTCTTTTTTCAATAATATGTATGTTCTTTATAGAAAACAAGTTTCTTTACTGTTTGAGATTAATGTATTATTGGCATTTCAGTTTGTATTTTCTATTTTTATGGCATTTTTATGCCTCTAAGCTGTTCCCTTAAGCGATTAAAATTTCTGTTAATTAGTAACTGAGACGGCAAGCCGGCAAGGGATTAATTTGTGCTTTTGGGCTCCTAACTAGAAAACTAATGGAATTGGCTAATGCTTTACACTTTTTCTGCAATTTCACCGTTATCAAACCTAATTTCTCCTAAGCTACACCATTTCAAGAATAGACTATACACCGGAGCCTGTAGTCTTTTTGCCTTTCCATGGTACCCCTAATTACACACTAGGCATGTGATTTCAAATTCCCCTTCAAAAGTTTTGATCATTCTTCTTCTTCTTCTTTTATATTGGTTGAGATAATGCTCTCCTATCACTGAATCTATTTTCACTTGTATGTTATTCAATTTCAGTTTATGATCTCTTGCTTATATATAAAAAAATTATTATTAAACTATTAAAGTAGTTGACAATTTTTTTTTATAAGAAATAGAAAAATATATTAAATAATAAAAATTGCAATAGAATTTTCATCTCATAGCATTATAGGCTAAAACAGTATAGCCTAATGATAGAATCAGAAGCATAACCAACAACACTAGTAACAGATTTAAACTATATTTATGATAGATATAAACAATTAAATAAAGAGATCCATCTGCAACTATAAATTGCAATTACAATCGTTGTATGGACTAAATAAGGCTACTAATATAGAAAAGAGAGTCACTATGAGCAAGGGAGGCTGGCAACAAACAATCCTCAACCCGCAAGTTGCCACCCTATATATTCTTAAAGAATAACCAATAAAAGGGGCATGGTTCTCCTCCATGCAAGCACAAGGCACCCCACTTGTCTCCATTTGCTCCCAACCATGGTCCCATCTTCCCCAATCCTCTTTAAGCCCTTGCTGTCAAAACTCATTAAGGGAACTAGAGCCCCTTTGTCAACTTGAATATCATTCTTCCCTTGCAGAACACAACCGATTTCACCAATAGCATCCCTTTCCTTTTGTATTTGGCCGCTTCATCAAAAACTGATGTGAACCAGTTTCTCTGAGTCTGACTCCTACCAAGATCCCATTTGATGAGATGCAC